GGCGCGCGGATGGGGTGCGAGACGGCAGCGCAGCGGCCGGGCCTCCCGGCGCCCTGACAAAGGCGGGGCCGCGAAGCGCCGGACGCCTTATCTGCGCTAGCAGACCGGGCGGCCGGGCGGGCACCCACGGTCGGCGCTCGGGCGCACAAAGGCCCGGGGCCGGAAGGGGGGGGTGGGGGGCGCGAAGATTAATTGCCCAATCAAGTTGTCGGCGCTGGGCGGGGGCGGGGGCCGCGGCCCCGGGGGACTCGGGGCAGCGCATAATGAAGTGTGCAAAAAGTTAATTTGCTCCGCGACTCGCTGCTCACCACAATCAAAGGCGGGCGGCGGGGAGCGGAGGATCCAGGAGTGTGCACCCCCCACCGTCCCCCCGCCCCGACACCAGCTCGTGATCCAGAGGTGGGATGAGGGGGTCACAGGCACCCTCAAAGCTGGGGGCGGAGGTCACCAGACGTGCGCCCTACTCCCACTTCCTCCCTCTGTGAGTCTCCGGGCAGGTCCCGTCCCCTCTCTGAGCGCCACTCTCCTCTCCTGGACTCACAACGGTTGACATTTCTGGAGCACTCACGCTGCTGGGCACAATGCCAAGTGGCCAAGCGTTTCACTGGCGCTGTCTCCTTTTATCTCACAACCCGAGCATCCGTTTTGAACCCAAGGTACAGAGATGCTCAGGAAGTACTCCAAGGTCACAGGGCTCTTACCCAGCTCAGTCTTAGGTGGAAAACAGCATGGTGGAAAGGGTCAAAGACAAAATACACAGAAAAATTGGGGGCGGGGGGCGTCATTACTCACACTATTGCAAAAGGGAGAGCATCTCAGATCCCAAGATCAGAGTGTCTGGGCAGGGTGGATTTGCCTTTGACTTTTACAGGGATGAGGAGACAGGTTACAGGTGGAGGGATTTATAGTGGGGATTGTCTTACAAATAGGGGATGTCTCCATCAGTCCAGTGAAGAGGAAATGTTCATCTCTGTGTCTAGCTAGTTTCAGAGGGGACACATACTTCTAATCTCAGCTAATCAACCATGAGACAAAGAGTGGGAAGTGGGAGGGTCCTTGGCCTTGTCAGCAGGTTCCAGCAAAAGGAGAAATTTCACAGGCCAGCAAGGGAGTCATCCTCCAGTCTTACAGGAGACAATAGAAAGAGGGGACTCCATCTTTTCTGAGTCTTAACGGGGAAGGGTGCCTTGTTTTGCTAAGCCATTTCCCTGAACAGAAAAGGTAGGGAGACTTCAGAAAACAAAAAGTTGGGGGATCTCTGGACCCTTGCTGTTTTTCAGGAGCAGGGGACTCAGGTAAAGTTTAACATTGTCAGAAGAGTGGCTGACAGCACAGGTGGAGGTTCTGGTACCCTGTAACGGAAGCTTTGCTGAGTGGCTTAAAAACCCCTGCCTGATGAAGCACTCATTCTCAGTAAATATAAATGCCCCTTTACCATTCCCCTGGACAATGTGACCTCAGGCAAGTCACTTAACCGCTCCGTAAAATGAGAGCAATGATAACGATACTCACCTTCTAGGATACTCTTATCAGTGGCTATATTAACAACAAGCACAAAGCAGAGCCCTAGAACATGGTAGGTGCTCAGTTAATGTTAGCTATGGGCCCGGTGTGGTGGCTCGCACCTGTAATCCCTTCACTTTGGGAGGCCAGAACAGAAGGATGGCTTGAGCCCAGGAGTTTGAGACTAGCCTGGAGAACATGACAAGACCCCATCTCTACAAAAATAAAAATAAAAATTTAAAAATTTGCTGGGCATGGTGGTAGTGTGCTTCTGTAGTCCCAGCTATTCAGGAGGCTAAGGATGGATTGAGCCCGGAAGGTCAAGGCTGCAGTGAACCGTGATCATGCCAGTGCACTCCAGCCTGAGCCAGAACGAGAACCTGTCTCAAAATAAAACAAAAACAAAATGTTAGCCGTGAGTACATACTACTATTTTCTCCCTAAGTAGTGGTGTCAGGATTTGTACTCAAGCTGCATGTTTTCAGAGACCACAGGCTCATCACTAGGGCACACCAACAGCTCTCTGTATATGGTTTCAGTCTTCAAACACCAAACACATCCTGAACCTGTGTTCCAGGTACTGGGCGCCCTGACATGAAAAGGAGCAAGCCAGCTCCAGACAATGCCACAGAAGCCACAATGGCTATGGGGGCTCAGAGGGAGAGCCATGGTCCCCTCCTTTAGAAGTGGCTTCCAGGACACAGCTAGGCTCAGCCTCTGGTTCTGACTGGTGGCTCCTGAGTCCTGGTTCTCTGACCCGCTGCTCAGGCCCATCCCTGGGCCCAGGCCAGACCAGAGCACTAGCGAGGGAGACCTTGAGGATGATAGGAGCCAAGCTTTCAAGCAAGAAGGGGTGGAGTCACAGCCAAACCAAGATTTATGGGCCCGATCATAATAATGAAAGAAGAAAAGAAAAAAAAGGACGCGTGTTCGGCAATGCCCAGGGACCAGGACTGCTGCCCTATTACCAAAAATGTCGTCGCTCTCAACTCTGCAAATTAGCATAAAACATGCTGTTTTGCATTCATTTGCATATCATTTCCATGCTAATGACTTGACGCCACAATGCACCCAGTCCCCTAAGAGGTTTCTGGTCTTAGCTTCTCTCTCAGCGCCTGCCCCTTGTCTTGTATTGAGAAAAATAGGAGATCTGGGTTCTAGGCTAAGCTGAGCCACTCACTCTGGGCAGATCCCTGCTCCTCTCTGAGTCTCAGTTTCCCTGACCGAGCTGAAGGAGATAAACTGAGCAGGGATTTTCAAATTATGCTTCAGTAGGCCTCTTGGGGTCTGTAGACACAGAGACAGGGGAGCAGGTGGGGCAGGCACCCCCCCCTTCAATCCCCTGCTAACAGCTGGGCTCTGAGTAAAATTTCTCCTGAGCAATGCAGAGCTTCTCTGTTAAAAACAAAGACCGAAAAGTTTGCAAACAAATGAACTCAGATTTCTCCACTGAGTCTTTCCAGGGCAACATTCTCTAAAGATGTTAATAATAATGATCAGAGTTAAACTATATAGCACTTACCATAGGGCAGTTGCTGTTTTAAGCACCAGACACATATAATGCACTTAATCCTCCTACAGTCCCTGTAATAGGTGTTATTATTATACCTCCATTTTACAGATGGGTAAACTGAGAACGAAAGGTTGAGTAACTTAGCTAAGTTCAAAGGGCCACTACATGGTAAAGATTCAAACCCAGGCACTCTGGCTCTAGAGTCCACACCATGAGTTTATCCAGGTCAACCCGTCCATTGCACAGATAAGGAAACTGAGGCCCAGAGAGGGAGAGAAAATTTCTAAGCATGGCACTGAAACTGCCCCTTGAACCTTTCTGCCCAAGCCCAGGGAAGAATGGCTGAAGAAGGGAGGCCTGGGGTTTCAAAGATGGTCCAGTGGGCATGCAAGAGTAAAGGGTGCCTTCTTTGTGGCCGCCACCAGAGCCTGCGTCCTCCTCCTCAGCCAGCCTAATCTCAGCTGATAGACTCCAGGGAACAGGCCCCTGAGCCAGGCAGGATGAGCCCCTAAATCAGGCAGCCAGCAGGCTGGTAAGCGCCAGGTGTGCTGGCCAGAACTGATACACAATGCCCTGCCTGACTGTGCAGGTGGAGGCACCACAGAGGGGGGCCCTGATGAAGGGGGGGAAGGGGAACTTTCTGCAGAGACAGGCAGTGCCAGGCTAGCAGGTGTTTGGCCCCCGCCCCTTGGGGGTCTGGCTGGAAAATTCTTAGATGCAAAGACTACCCAACCCCCACCCAGGGGTGACCTGTAGGGGGCTAGTCATCATTCTCTCTATTCAGTGTCTCTCCAGGACACTCTGGACTCTCTCCAGCCCCTCCCTCTTGCCAGCCTACCCCTCTCACCCCGCTCCAGCAGCCTCGGCCTTCTCTCCATTCCTTTCTCACACCAAACTCAGTCCTACCTCTGCACCCTGCCATTTGCTCTTCCGTACCCCTGGAACAGCATTGGGCCCCCTTGCATGCTTTGGGTCTCAGCTCAAGAGTCACTTCCTGGAGAGGCTTTACTGGCCACCCCATCTAAAGTTAACTACCAAGACCGCATCCCCCATTACTTCCTAGCACTTCAACCTTGTTTTCTTCTCAGCTATGATCACAATCTGAACTTTGTTTATTTTCATGTCTCTCATTGAGTGTGTCTCCACCACTATTTTCTCACTGTAGGAGAGTCAGGACCATCAGTAAAGTTCTTCATAAATATCTGTTGCAGGAAATAAATAAAGAGGAAAGACAGTGCTGCAGCTGACTTATTTGGTTGGTGTTGGTATCCCCCTCCTTGATCCAGCCCTGGAACGTGAACTTCACAGGGCAGGGATTTTTTCTTTTTTTTTTTGGATGAAGTTTCTCTCTTGCCCAGACTGGAGTGCGATGGCATAATCTTGACTCACTGCAATCTCTGCCTCCTGGGTTCAAGTTATTCTCCTGCCTCAGCCTCCCAAGGAGCTGGGTTTACAGGCACGAGCCACCATGCCTGGCTAATTTTGTATTTTTAGTGGATATGGGGTTTCTCCATATTGGTCAGGCTGGTCTCGAACTCCCAACCTCAGGTGATCTGCCCACCTCGGCCTCCCAAAGTGCTGAGATTACAGGCGTGAGCCACCGTGCCTGGTCAGAGGAAGGATTTTCTGTCTGTTGTGTTTACTGCTGTGTTCTCAAGGGCTAGCACTGTGCTGGTACACAGTAGGTGCTCAATAAATATTTGTTGCATGAAGGAACAGTGTGCAAGAGCTCTGGACTGGGAGTCAGGAAACCTGAATCCCTTCCCAGCATTGTGTTTGATGGAGTATAGGACCAACGGCAAGTTCCTTCCCTTCTGGGCCTTCAGTTTCTTCTCTAAAAGCTGGACTTCAAAATCCCTGCTACAGGACCATGGAAGGTCAAGTGTGGCTTGTCCTCATTCACTCCCCAGGGATGGCAGAAGATGCAAATGCCAGCAGGCAAGAGGCAGGCAGACCTGGGTTACCACCCAGGCATGGTTCTCACCTGGCTGTGTGACCTTAAGGAATCATAGTCCCTGCCCCATTTCCAAAGGGGGACAGCGGCTACGAGGACTGCCTGAGACGAAGGCAGACACAGAGCTGTGAAGTGTAAACTGCTCTGCCCATAAGTATCTTTTCTCATCAGCAAGGCAGTGCAGCGGGGCTCCACATCACCCAGCATGTGCTATTTCTTTATCTATAAAAGGAGCTCCCCATAGTACCAACCTGACACATTGCAGGGGCTTTATAACCACAGTCCTCTTAGAGTCAGTAAGTGCCATGGTGGCTCTTCATGTCTGATCATTTGGGTTTCCTAAGTCGTTATTTGTGGACCACTTCCATCCCCTTCTCACCCACCCACCACGTTGCACCCAAGCAAGTGCCCCTACTATGTGCCTGGTGGGTACTACGGGGAGCTCCTTTTACAGATAAGGAAGCAGAGCACATATAGGATGGAGCTGTGGCAAGAGGATAACCCACATAATCAGAGGGCAAAGGGAGACCCAAGGTGAGAATGGAGTGGGCAGGGTTTGACTTCAATGTTGGGGTGAGCTGGGGAGGATGGGGCTGGGGGAACCAGGGCACGAGGCTGAAGAGGGAGCCACGGTGAGATCAGGCAGCCCTGGGGGTCAGATGAGGATTTAGTCTTTATCATGGAAGCAGTGAGTGCTACAGGATCATTTTAAGCACGGAAGTAAAAGGATTTAAGTTTCAAAACACTTACTCTGGCTTCCAGGTGCCAGGTGTGGCTGGCATTCCAAGTGATTTGCCATGTCCTGCAGTATGAGAACCCCCCACCCCACCAGTGTAGCTGGGTGCATGGATGCCAGAATAGAGACCGCACTTCCCAGCCTCTCTTGCAGTTAGAGGTGGCCATGTGTATGCATTCCTGCCACGAAGAGGTAAGCGGAACACCAAGTACAACTTCTGAGTCGGCACGGAAGTGGTGAGGGGGCGGTCTTTAAAGAGAGCAGAGCATTCTTTGCTTCATCCTCTTTCCCTCTGGCTGGAATGTGGACATGATGGCTGGAGAAAGGTGGACTTCATAGTCCACCTTAGACTATGAAGTGTCGAGGGTGGAATAAGACAGAAGGAGCCTGGGTCCCTGAGGATCAAAGAGCCATTATGCCAACCTGGGACCGTCTGCTTCCAGATTGGTAATAAGAGAGAGAAATCAGGGTCTGTCCTCTTTAGTTCACTCTTCTTGTGGGCTCCCTGCCACTCTCAGCCAGCTCCAAACCCAGTAGATCCAGTTGGCACAGATGATCTTGGAGCTCTGTGGCCCACCTTGATGCACAGAGAAAGGGGATGCTCCTGGGTCTTCAACTTCCTGTTCACACTGACTGTAGTCTCCCAGCCCTGCCTGTCCAGCTCTGTCCATCCAAGGGCGTAGCCTAAGTCAGCCCAGAGGAATAGGCTGGGCTCTCTGACTGGGCCAAGCTCTGATAGGTGCAGAACTCATTAGAGCCTGAGACCAGGCCTCCTGCTGCTACCCTCGCAATTTTGAGGAGCAGGACAGGGAGAGGATGATGGTCAATAGCAGGGTGGCACTGTCCATCTCTTGGGCCACTTCCAGCACCTTCTCACCCACCCTCTACATTGCACCCAAGCAAGCTTCTTAGTGCCGTCTCCCGGCCTCATGAATTCCACACATCAGTGTCCTCCCACAGCCCTCCAAGGCCCTTGGGATGACATCCAGTCACCTATGTGGCCCACCAGGCCATGTAGGACATGGTCTCTGCTTGATTCTTCAGTGCTCAAACTCATGAGCACAAATCCCAGCTCTTCCTTGTAGAAGGTCTGTGAACTCAGGCAACTTGCTAAAGCATTTTGGGTCTTAATTTCCTCATCTTTGAAACAGAGTTAATAATAACAACTACTTCCTAAGTTGTGAAGCTTAAATGAGTCAGTACAGGGGTTCTGGTGATTTGCTGCTGCATAACAACACTAACATGTAGGACTGTTAACCATTTTCTTGTGCTAACAGATTCACACAGAGCACACTGGGGGTGGCTTCCTTCTGTTTGACAGTATCTGGGGCCTCGGTTGAAAACAGTTGAAGGCTGGGACTAGAATCATCTAGAAGTGTCTTCCCCTCACTTTTGTGGCAGTTAGGAGTGGCACAGTGGAGACTGCAGGCCAGAGCATCCACATGTATCCTCTCCGTGGGTCTTGGGCTTCCTCCCAGCTTGGAGACTGGGTTCCAAGAGTTCCAAGATGAGTGTCAAGCAGAAGTAGCAGAGTTTGTTCTTCCTTCCTTCCTTCCTTCCCTCCTTCCTTCCTTCCTTTCTTCCTTCCTTCCTTCCCTCCTTCCTTCCTTCCTTTCTTCCTTCCTTCCTTCCCTCCTTCCTTCCTTCCTTCCATCCTTCCTTCCTTCCTTCCTTTTATCCTTCCTTCCTTCCTTTCTTTCTCTCTCTCTCTCTCTTTCCTTCTTTCTTTCTTTCTTTCTTTTTTTTTTAGAAGGAGTCTTGCTCTGTTGCCCAGGCTAGAGTGCAGTGACGCAATCTCGGCTCCCCTCAACCCTCCTAGGTTCAGGTGATTCTCTCGCCTCAGCCTCCCGAGTAGCTGGCATTACAGACTTACGTCACCACACTCGGCAAATTTTTCTATTTTTATTAGAGATGGAGTTTTACATGTTAGTTGGCCAGGCTGGTCTCAAACTCCCGACCTCAGGTGATCTGCCCGCCTGAGCATCCCAAAGTGCTGGGATTACAGGTGTGAGTCACTGCGCCCAGCGGGCATGGTCCTTTCTAACCACATTTTATTCCTGGAAGCAATCAAGAGAGAGGACACAGGCCCTACTTCTTGATTAGAGGAGTTTCAAGGAATTTGGAGTCATATTTTAAAATGGCTTGAACAGTGCCTGATCCCATAAGCACTTATACGACAGCCAGGAGCAGTAGTAGTGGTCTAATGGTACCAGGGTTCAGTCCTATGTGTGTTGAAATTGTCGTACCAGGTGACACTAGTCACAAAGGGGTTAATGGAGGAAGCATGGGGACAGGTCCCTGGGACCTGACATCCCACCTAGGCCAGACAGGCACTGAAGAATACAGCTAAGATAATATCAGCTGAAATGTCTTGATCCCATGCCAGGCACCAAGCCAAGCACTTTCCATGAATGATCTTGTATCATCCATACAGTAATCCAAGAGGCAGATCCTATCATTATGCCCATTTACAGGTGAGAAGCCAGAGGCTCAGAGAGGTAAAGGGTCTTGCCCAAGGCCACACAGCCAGGAAGGGGCACAGCCAAGATTTGAACTCAGGCAGTGGGTTGTCAGCCCTGGTCCTCATTTCCCGAGACTAAGCTGGGCAATAGTCCAGCCTGCCAGGTGGAACAGGCCGTCCTGACTGTTTGGTGACAGACAGGGAGGGCTTGTTCTGCCGGACGGAGAGCCAGGACCAGGAGGTTTGTCAGCTGCAAGCCTACAGCCACAGGCTGGGGGAATGGGGCCAAGACCTCCGTCTGGAAGAGTGGGGGAGGGAGTGTGTGGAGAGAACCCAAAGAGCCAGGCAGGCCCCCTCCAGAGGCAGCCGAGCACTAAGGAGTGGAAATAAAGCCCAGGGATCACAACAGGGCCTCGACTTCTGCTTCCTGGAGCCCTAACCAGCTTGTCACTGGTCTCCCACCTGGAACAGAGCTCACCTGCTACCGGAGGTCAGGAGGTCTCAGCTGTAGGGTGAGGCGGATGGGGAGAGGACCACCATTCCATTCAACAGCCAGGGAGAGGGCACAGAGGGGCACTTTCAACAGCAACAAGCGCGCCTTTGGGGGCAGGGTCAGGATGTCTCTGTCTTCTCACCTGCTCCCTCTCCACCCTTCCCTCCTTCCATTCCTTCCTGCCATCCCCTCTTCTATTATTTACTCTACACTTCACTCCCTATTCCTCTTCCTCCTGTCCTCACTCCTTCCCTTCTTGTCTTCTCTCCTTCCTTCCATTCCTTCTCTACATGGAACCTCACAAATGGGAGAAACTACATTCTCCAAAGACAAGGGGAAACCTGGTCTGAATTTGGCCCTAAAAAAATCCATTTTATGGATGTCACCATCAAATGAAACATGAGGCCGGGAGCCATGGCTCACACCAGCACTTTGGGAGGCCAAGGCGAGAGGACTCCTTGAAGCCAGGAGTTCAAGACCAGCCTGGGTAATACAGGGAAACCCAGTCTCTAGTAAAAATAAAAAATTAAAAAGTTAGCTGGGCATGGTGGCATGCTCCTGTGGTCCCAGCTACTCAGGAGGCTGAGGTGGGAGGACCTCTCAAGCCCGGGAGGTTGAGGCTGCAGTGAGCCATGACTGCACTACACTCCAGCCTGGGCAGCTGAATGAGACTCAGTCTCTAAAACCAAAAGAAAATGTAAAGTGAGAAAGAAACATGATTCCTAAGCTGTCACAAAACCAGCCCTAACAGTGTCATGAGCCTGTGATTACTTCCCCTGATCCCCCAGAACTTAGCCAGAAAAGGGGCGTCAACTCCTCTTTGCCCCCCTAAGTATAGATGGCATCCCCCAGGGTGTGTGAGTATCCTGGGTGTTCCTGAGGGGCTCACAGGGCGTGGAGAATGAGCTGGTTCACCTTGCGTTAATGGCTAATACCCCTCTGAGCCTCCGTTTCTTTCTGAAACAGTTTACAATTTTGTGGGTTGAGACTGTGACATGCAGTTGCACTCTGTCACAGGAGTACTTCGGCCTTGCTTAGTCCCTTGCTGGCACAGGCCTCTGACCTTTCTCCCAGGCCTGGAGGCAGAGCCAACTCCCAGCTGATGTTGGCAAGAGTCTGGGAGGGTGGACAGGCAGGCTGTTGGGGCCGGCCGCATGCCCAGAGAACCTTCTGTGCCACTGTTCCCTCAGCCAGGCAGTCCGGGCCCACCGGCCACTTCCTGTGCCCCTGGCAGGACAGGGCTGCAGGCCCCTCCTCTCTTGCATCTCTGCTCAGCTGATGGTGGTGGCCACCCCTCCTCCCCTCAGGCCCTGGAAACAGAAGTCTCCAATATAAATGCAAATT